GCCGCAACCCTAGCCACCCACTCTCGATCATACTGAGGCTTTCTGCCTAAACTTGAGGTCAATTTGGGCTGGAGCAAAACACCTCCAAGATCCGAGGATAGCACGACGGGTTGAAATACCTACGCAGTCAAACTCATCCTGATTTCAAGTGTGCGTTATTATGATGCTGTCTGGGTGATCGTAAGCCATGAGGTGTTGAGTTTCAATGTAAAGAGCGTGTGTCGAATCTATATCGGTTCGGTGACTAGCGATGAGGTTACTGAGGATTTGCTGAAAGAATCAAGGCGATCCATAACCCCGAAGTAAATTTTATGAAGCTTCTGAATGGTTAAGTGATTAATTTATAAAAATAATAATCACTCGTCTGACTGCATCCCACTTAAGAATTTTTTTCAGGTTATAGAAGGCCATGTCTATAGGACCATCGAATGATACAGGGACCAGACATCAGGGGCTACGCGCTTGTTTTTTTCTTCTGGATTACTGTTTGAAGAATCCTTTAACTGATCGGTTAAAGACAATGAACACTAGTGTTTTTTACCTATGGTCAATTTCTGAGAGATCAGACTGAAGGTATGTATGGACAATTCGATTGTGTACTCTGCATCATGGGACTGAACGATTATCCATTTTTTGCTGTTTAGATGAACCCACTCCCTATTCCGCGTAGATTAGTCACGTCTATATTGTTCACATGTTGAGCTTGCCACCTTTTTAGTAAGATTTACTTCACCTTATTTCACTGTCAGTTGATGACGACCGAAAATTCAGGCGTTCTTGCCATAGAAAAATTACTTTGACATGACCTGTTGAGACTGCATATCATTTGATTTCCGAAAGCGTTTAGCTTTCATCGTACGTTTATCCTTTTCAATAAATTTTTCTTCTGCCTTGACGTGCATTTCGGACTGCTTCCATTCTAACCCGGAAATTTTTTCACAGTTTCCTTGTGCAACTTTGGAGTTGCAGTGTTTCATGAAAGAATTTAGTTGGAAGGCATGGCTGTCCCACTCCTGACGGAACTCATCAGCACAGCGTAACATTTTCGTGATCCTGCTTAGATTGGAGCCGCATTTCCGAAAAGTCCCAGCAACACGACTGATTGTCTGTCTTCATACACATTTCCCTGTTATTAAGCTGAATAAATGGACTCCCAAGGAGTGAGATTTTTTACTAGAACAACTGTTCATAGGTCTCTGTATCAGGGATTTCGTATGAAAGAAAACAAGAACAAGTGAAAAGTAGTCATTCAGTGAGTTACCGATCAGTTTCATATTCGTTGTTCGGCTGGGTCAAACTCCCATACAAAAGAATGCGAAGATTTCCGCGGTTTTTTGATTGTCTTTTTGTGGACATGCTATAGTTGCACGGAAGTTTACTCTGATTATTGACACTTTGGAAGAGATATCTTGTAGTGGAACTTGTTCATCCAACTTTATGCGTTAATCCAATTACCAAGCATTGTTCTAGTAAATAAACCGTTCCTATCATGAGGTATGTTTATGCGTAAATAACCACCACTCACTACTACATTAACCTGTTTTATTGCATACCCTTGATTTAGGTCGCTGCAATGTACAGAACCCGAATGGCTAGACTGATCACGAGAATTCGACGTGTTGATGTGACACCGGAAGAAGTGTGGTCCATAATCCAGAGTTCTCTCCCCGTCGATTCTCATTCAATATCTTATCAAACTCATTCTCCGAAGCCTGAAGTCACTCTTGTGACCGAAAGCGTCTCCGATTCATCGTCATGTAAAGTGAGTCTCGTTTATTCTAAAACGCTTGCAGATATATTTCTTTTCGTGAAACTTGAAAGGAATTATTGCTCAACACTGTATGAATGTGTTATGAAGAATAATTTCTATCTCAGCTGGCAAACGTAGAGCATTTTCATCCTATGGTTCGATGAATGGGAACATTGAAAAACCATTGCTGTCAAATGTTTTCAGTTCGTTTATTGCGCCGCCCAGTATATAGTACACAACATGAACAATAATGAAATCCACTGAGTGGATGCGGACTAAATGTAGGCTATTGCCACGTCAGTCAGCACAAAATGGGTAATGGCTTTTTTGTGTAGGGCTGGTTTTAAGGCGGCGATCGATAATGTTGTTTCAATGAGTGCTTCCAACTTGCTGCTGTTTTGTAATACAAATCAGCGGATTCAGTTAACCTGAACCTATGTAATCATGGTCCATTTCGTTCGTCGTAACCGTTATTCCCATGTTAATTGCAGGGCTGGACTACTTCGACTGTGCTGTACAATTCGCTAGGTCCTGTATCGAACCGCTTCGCTCATGTACGTGGCATCAAAATTGATAGTGAGCTAAAGCATTCCAGTGCTTCAAAAATACCTACAGAAGTGGAAACTTTTTTGATTGTATCCCATAAATTCTTTTAAATCAATCCTTAGATAAACAACTCATATGATCAGAACGCTGCTTTTCTCAACCCATGACTATCATATTTGAGGAAGATGTTTGTCTGAATAGTCCCACAGAGCACATATCAGACGAAACAAACTTGTTTTCAGTAATTCGTATTTATGCTGATATGCCACTCACCACTGCAGTGGTTTCACACTTAGCTGAAACAAATCAGGTTTGCGCAATCTAGGACCTGTTAATTGGCCGTTTAAGTCCAAATGCATCTGTTGATGGGTTGATTAAAGTTCTCTTAGAGCCTGTCTGACATAAATCAGACGAACCGTTCGTATAAACCGATCACGAATCTCATTTTCACTGAGGTAGATAGTACAGTCGTTAGCCCGGCACATGCGTATACTGGTTTCGGTTAGAGTCTTTTGGCTACCTATTTGATTGGCCCATTGAACAGAGATTGCATAACGAAGTGAAAACCTGATAGCCGTACCAAAACAACGGTGCACTGCTGGTAAAATAGATTCATCTCTAAGGACGTTAGTTGTAAAGGCGGCATTATGTACGCCACTCATTTGTATCGCCCGTTTTCTATTCAGTGACTAGGTCAAAAAATGAAACTTTGACAGATCTAACCAGACACCAAGGTATGATTAGCTTTCTTCTAATTTTTTTTAAATTGATGAGTGACTTCCTGTCAATTTCTACTCTTGTTCTGCGTCATTTGATTCGAAACACATTCCATCATTTTACTGTTTTCTTTTGTGTTCATTGACAGCAGTGGTACAACTCACCAAAAGATTTGATTAATTTCTGACTATCACTCAACTGTTTGCCTCTATGATACTTCTCTGCTTGCTTGCTTCACTAGACAAATGTGTAAACAGTAAACTAGATAGATCGACGTTCCAGATTGTTCGAAGGTCTCCGGTTGCACCACACCTTGTCCACCAAAAAGCTGCAGTTTTCCTTGACCGAGAACGAAAGTCGCACTCAGTTAGCTGTAAAACCCGATTTAATTCCGTCCTTAAAAGAATTTTAATCCATTTCGATAGTAAGGTAGTCCCATTAGTGAAGTCAAGAAACGTTTTGTACACCCCAAGGGTAAATTTTAGTTGCTATCTTTTGCTTACCTATGTGAATGAGTAGAACGGGGATTGATGTGTTGCAAGTAGACCAAGATTGTCTCTGGGCCTCGTTAGGTTGTTTACACATTGTTGATTAGTAATCTGTGACAAACCCAAAAAAAAGCTATTTCAGGATTTTTTCCGTGAACACTTCCTGAATGAGCATCAGTATTACGATGTGCATAGTTTTTTCCGCTGGGAGGCTTTCTAGAATTGCTAGTTCGTTTTTTGTTTGCTTCCACTTGTCTTTTGGGGTAAATCGTGTAGGGTGGCAAATGGATAAGCAAACCGTACGAAATTAGTTGTCAACGGACGCTTATTGGTTGCCTTTTAAGTGTTCGCGCGCCTCGTAGAATTCGATCTGGATTGCATAGCTGTTCTTCAACCCGGTTGCCACTTCGTATATCCCCACCTCACCTTTTACCTTCTTTGAAAGTGCCTTTACAATGAAAAGGACGCAAGTAGTTCTTTGTCAGCTGAGTCTTTGATGGCAAAACATCATCAATAACAAATAGATTACGAATGACTGGAGAAGTTCCCAGAAGCTACACATTCAGTCTCGTGATCCTTGCCACTCGTAAGATATGCACATCGAAAAATCTTTGTCAATTTATTCTCTCACTTATAATTCTGTTGAAAACTGAGCAAAAGTCAAGCGGAACCGATGTGTTTATTCTTCGAGACTACCATCTTCCGAAATATGTATCTGAAATGCTCATGTTGTTTATGTTTCATCAATACTCGATCGTTGGCTTTGATATTGTTTGTGACTGATCAGCAATGACGACGTTGAAGGATAAATACATTCAACATTGGAGTTTACTTCAAATTATCTTAGTTTGCAAGCTCGTGTTACAGTTCAGTTTCTACAACCATTAACCGTGCACTTTCGTGCGCCGGTTTTCGTGGCTGTCTTTTGGCTGCCCATTTGGATAAAATAGCGAAATGAAGATTGGAATGTCGAAGCAAATTCGAGCGGAAGATGGGTTATACATATAGAGTGGTACTAGGAAAATAACAAGTGGATGCACGAGCGCC